GAATAAGTTAATTTGAATGAGAGCATAACAATCACAGAAACAGAATGGCGAAAGTTTGAAATAAATTGGACCAATATTAAGAAAGTTAAGTGTTTGAAATATGAGATCACTACAACTGTGCGAATCTCAAATCGGCAATTTTGTCTATGGATTGTGACGTAGTGACAGATTACTCTCTCGTTTGTCGCATACACAAATATCACTTATTCTGTTTTTCTGCCAAGTGCCTTCACCTTTGGGGCACTACTCAAAATAAAAAGAACAGACCATCCCGAGTCATACATTTATGAAAAGTTGAAATTTTAGTCCTTTTGTGTATTAGAGCAAATGGAAAAATTGTACGCCACAACATCACATAGACATTATCAATACAGCAAATTTGAAGACCCCCTTACCTATAGTAATTGCAACTTTCACTAACTGTCTAATTTTTTTGTCCGATTTTCATTCGAACTTTCATCAGTATGCTTCATTGATTTAGCTGCTTTATTCTAAACAAGTTTTCTATCAAGGTTGGATTTCCCTTTAACTTCAATTCTGGACCAAATCATGTAACGAGCACGGCATCAAACCCTCAGCCCAAGCCTAACATCCAATTGCAACCATAACTCCCATGTCCGACCTTTTTTGTCAGACAAGGACCCTATCTGAACCCATTCTGGACCAAATGACGTACCGAGCCAACAAAGAGAACAATGAAGAGGTTTTGAGAGAGTTCAGGAAGAGATTTTCTCTCAAAAAGCCAGATCTCTTCCAAAAAGGTCAGTGGCACCTGTATCAGGGAAATGCACCAGTCCAAATATCCATCCTGGTAACCAATCGCCTGACAGAGATGGGTATCAAAACTTTACCTTTCCCTCACTGCGCAGTCTAGATTCTGCCCCCTATAATTAAAATTGTTCCCCAAACTCATATCTATGGCCCAAATTCACAAAGGAGGTTTTTCGACAAGCCTAGGTTTGTGTACGTCATATGACGCATTTCGACGCGGTTTTACAGGCCTGAGGATTTAACGCTCAATGACTTTTGATATTTTGCATGCTGTCTCAAAAATATGATTTTTTCCAACTTAATTTATCATCCAAAACAACCCCTAAGAAATTAGTAAAAATGTACCAAAGGAATTTGGCAATTGTCAATGAATACATTTATATCAGTTGTTTGTATATTTTTATTCATGGGTAGAAAAAGCATAGCCTACAACATGTTTTGGCAAGATTCATTTCCAATTTGTTAGATGCGAACCAACTAGAAAACTTTTTGAGCTCAGTGTTCAGAGTGTTACATAAATATTAATCAATATTGTCTTCTGATAAAATAAGTGAGTATCATCGACGTAATTAATTGCATGTAAAATTTTGCTCACAAACTGAATATCATTTATGTATAGAGTAAATATTAAAGGCCCTAACACAGACCCTTATGGAACACCGATGTTTACATTCTTGGTAACGGAGGATTTGTCATTAATTGAAACATATTGCATTTTGTCATGTAAATAACTCTCAAACCAATCTAAAGCTGTACCACGAACATCATAATGTTTAATTTGTTGAATTAATATTTGATGATCGACACAATCGAATGCCATCGACAAATCCAAGAATAAACCTAAAATACACTTCTTAATTTCAAAAGTGTCAGAGTGTAAGTTCAAGTAAAGCCATATATGATGAGAAAAAATATATAAATCCGAATTGCTTGGAATATAATATATAATGTTTAAGTCAGAAATTTACTAAACGACTGAACATTAACTTTTTTCAATATTTTGGAGAAAATAGATAGTACTGAATACAGATGTTGGTCGATAATTCGTCAAAAGCACTTTGTTCCTTTCTTAAAAATTGGTATAACTTAAGCGATTTTCATACTACTAGGAAATATACCTGCCTGAATGGACAGATTAAAAATATTCCATAAAAAAAAAAAAAACAATCGCCTTTTTTTTTTATAACACGTGTGTTAGTACCATCGTATCCTGGACTTTTACTGCTTCATGAAAAATGCCTAAAATTTTAAAAAGGTTTAATAGGATCAATGAACATACTTTCAGAATTATCTTGACCAGGTAGAAATTAGAGAAATGTGTAGAAGTGTCAGGTAAAGTACTTTCAATATCAGATGCAATTCTGCTAAAATATTCATTGAATGTATTAACTACTTCTTGACCGTCATAGACACATATTTCATGTTTTTCAATAAAATCGACTTGTACCTTTCCACGAACTGAAGAAAGTAATTCATGTATGATTTTCTAAGTTGCTTCAGTATTATTTGAACATCCTCAAATGTGTTACAGTAATAATCCCTCTTGCATTTACGTATTGCACAGGTGACATTATTTTTCATTTGAATATATACTTATTTCCGGTATAAGCTTGGATTTTCGATATATTTCCGATACGTTATAGTCTTCTTTTTGCACAGTTTTTTCAAGTTTGGAGGTAAACCAAGGCTTAGAAATAGATTTATTCTTACGTTGGGTACTTACAAATGGAAAACATTTGTAAACGTTGTCATTCAAGATTCGCATTAAACGATCGAATTGACTATCGACATCCTTGTATATGTATGCATATTCTAATTTATTACTATTAGCATTTCACAAAATGTGGCAATATTATTATCATTGATGGCCCGTTTTTCAAAAGTTGCATATTCGTTAAAATCATCCGCAACGGGACGATTGCAAGCTGTTATATTAGATCTGGACTAGCCTATAAAACAAAGTACCATTGTACAAAGGTCCTTTGAAACGTAAATAAATGCAACTTTATTGAATAATGAAAAGATGAAAGGGTAATCAAACTGCAGGCTATCTTGCACAAGAATCTTAGACTGAAAATACATGGACTTGTTTTTTACTCACTTTTGTTTTATCAAACCAAGCTTTTTCAAAGAGATTTCATATTTAACTTTTATGAGTATGAGTAACCTATTAATTAAAGAAAAATATAAAACATGAGATAAGGTTGTCACCCTTTCTGCAAGGAAGGTACATTTTCTCTAGACGGTTCCATAATGCATAGAACTATAAACCTGGTAGAACACATTAAGAAATAGAGTCAAATTCTGCTACAATAGCAGCACCCTCTGCCAAATACGCGTAAGTGGATGCAAATCTGCACCCCAATCGCACCCTTATTTCTTAGTGTAAAACATTTTACCTTGACACTCTACCCTTTGCAATTTTTTAATACTATTTATTTTTAGATAAAGTTGAGACATCATCAATTCGGAACCGACATCCCATCATAGACTAGTATTTGTCTTTTGGTATATGTCTTGATTACAAGATGGTATAGAGAACCGAAGCTGTGGCATCATAACAATCTATTTTGGGAATTTCTTCATTCTTTCTTTATTTTCCAAAAGACCACCAAAAATAATGTCAAAATGTCAGAAACCAATTGAATATGTTAAGTATTTGCTGAGATATGACCATCTGAATAAATAGATTTCCTATAGGAACACATTGTTATATTGCTCTGGCTCGTAATGTTATGAACCAGGGCAATATAACACTGAGTTCATATAAGAATCCATATACTCAGATGATCATATATCTCAGCCCAAACTTGACATATTCAATTGGTTTTCGACATTAGGATATTATTTTGTATGCTCTTTCCGAAATATAAGAAAATTTGAGAAATTCTAAAAAAATAGATTGTTTGATGATGTCACACTTCACCACTCTATTACAAGGGATATCAAAGTATAGCCTTCGATTACAGCAAGATCGAAGGGTATCTGCTTATCCCATGAGACAGGTAGTGAAATGGATAAAAAAGAGGGATGGAGGAGAGATAAGATCTATCCCCCATAACATTTGTTTTTCTTTGACAGGGTAGCCATTCCAACTACAAATATCTGTTTGACCAAGCTGCCCTTTATACATGAATAGAATAATATTACGTTTTTATAACATATGAAACACATGTAGATAATGGAACATGAATACATTATATTTAAAGGAAAAGAAAGAGGAAGGAAAGAGAATAAAATCAGCATTACAAATTAATAAGAAATTACGTTGGGTGTACCTGTGGCAGTATTTACATGTATATCAATAAAAATGCCTTATTCACGCTAGCTTACATGGTTTGTTATAATCCCTGAATTCTACCAATTGATATTGTTTATATATTTGTTTGTTTATTAATTTGTTTGTGTGTTTGTTAGTTTTTACTCAATCCGTTTTTATATTTTTCTCGAAATAAGTAACTAATCCTTTAATCCGATACCAGGTGCCGCAATGGGACGATTTCGACTGCAGCGCCACCGGTCTCAGCGAAGAAACATGCATGCTCGCCATGAAGAACGCAAGCATCCCTGCCAACTACACGAGCGACCACCAACTCGTCTTTGAGCAATGCGTGAAATACAACGTGTCTGGGGAGGCATTCGATCCCGAAATCGACCCGTTCCACGACCCCGGCTGGCCGACATCGCAAGTCATGGAATGCGACAGCGGATGGGTGTACGACAAAAGTCAATACAAATCGTCCATAATAACGGATGTAAGCTACTTCCCTAATATGTAAGCCTAAACGCGGACAATAGGCATACTGAATGTAAGAGAGGGGAGTATACTTGTAAGATTATTTTTACAGCGGCATCTTTTCAATTATAAATGATCTCCCTTAAAATTAACTTTGCTCAATATTTTGTTTCAACAGAATGTTTGAAGATTTTTTCCTCTCTAACATATCTAACACGTCCTGTTTATATATATAACCCTACATGGTACATTAAAGATAAAGACCAGTTATGGTCATGCGTTTGCATTGTGAAAGAAACGTTGTGGAATCGATCAAAAAAGGTTGATCATCTAGCATATAAGTATTGGTGTGTACTGCAAGGTTCTGGAATCATCAAAATGATAAGAAATATGGCCTTGTCTTCGTAAAGTTACAAGCACTGTACACATAAAGATGTATATGGGACTACGCACACGTGCGCGACGCGTGCGTTTATCTCTCACAGGCCAATAGATAAACTAATTTACCAAATATATCAATTAGTAGGCGGTTTCCCGGAAAAAATGTTATCATCATGTATTAGTCATAACATATTCTGTCACATGATTGGTAGTAAGAGCTTCCATTTGTATTTTTTTAAATTGGGGCGTTTCAAATACTGGTCGTTATCTTTAAGTGCGTTGTTTCATCCATTATTTATTTCAAAGAAATTGTATTACATGGATACCAGGACTTTGATCTCATTCCAGACTCAGGGCAGGTCATATAATTTTACAGCACTATAACAAATGTTAATCATTAGGGGTTTATATTTGGTCGTCCATTATTTCGAATAGATTTTAAACTCGTATCAAATGTATACCCGTACAAAGGAATACTACTATTAATTTGCCTATTACTATTTGTTACTATATAATCATCAGTTTGCATTATTTTTGCATTAGTATTTCCTTTTAAAACTCTACCACTGTCCATTATTGATTTTAATTTCTTTATTAACAATTAATAACAATAAAAACCACTCTTTTCTCTACCTCTCTGTAACGAAAGTTTTAATTTTTTGTCTTAACATAGATCAAATAGGTGTATATTTGGCATGTAAAATAGCATACTATGTCTACTTATATAGTGATGCTTATTGTAATGAAACCTTAATGGAATACTAACAACACTAATCATTCAACGTGTATCTATCTGTCTTATTATCCCACAAATCTTTTCCATTATCTCGATACAATCTCATTCGAATGCTTTGGCGTTGCCCCATTTTTGTCTCTGTCTGTCTCCATCCTCCCTTTTTCAGTTTCCTCTCTCTCTCTCTCTCTCTCACTCTCACTCTTTTCGCATCCCTTCTCCCCTTCCTGCCTCTTCCTCTTGTTTAATGTTTAAATAGTATGACCTAGTGTGCGGAGCAGAAGATCAAACCCAAGTATCCCAATCGGTATTCTACGCCGGGTATTTAGCCGGTTCTATCATCAACGGAGTACTGGCCGATATGTGAGCTAAAACGAGCTTATTATTTAAAGTGTGTTGTGTCCATTGTACCCGAGGCAGCTTTTCTATCTATCTATTTAAGTATCTTCTCCCGGTTCGGAGGTTGATTGCAACATCTCTACATTTCACTCTATCCTCTGTCATTCTGGTGCACCCTTGCAGTTTTAGTCCACTCCAGTTCTTGACATTCTCTTCCCAATTGATTCTGGGTCCCCCTCTCGGTCTACTTTCTTCCACTTTTCCTTTTAATACATCCTTTAAGAGGCTTTGGGGCATTTTAATATGACCAAAGTATTTGATTTTACTCTCCTTAACTAATCCTACTAGTGCAATTTGTTTACCCCCTACCATGTGCAATATCTTTTTGTTGGTTTTCATTCGTTTCCAGGATATTTTCATCATTCTTCTGTAAATCCACATTTCTAAAGATGTTATTCTATTTCCCATGGCTTTGCTTATTGTCCATGTTTCTGCTCCATACAATAGGACGGACCATACATAACAGTTTACTAGTCTCAACCTAAGCGCAAATTTCACCTTTCTATTTGTGAATAATCCTTTCATTGCCAGAAATGTATTCCGAGGAATTTCTATTCTTCTTTTTATTTCTGCTTCGCATCTGGCATCATCATGTCCTAAGTAGATGTAATTACTGACCTGCTCAATGATATGTCCATCGAGTTTTAAACATATTCTAGGCTTATTCTCTATTCTACTAAAAATCATTGACTTAGTTTTCTTGACATTCATGCTTGGACCAAACTCTTCACTTTTGACTTTTACAATACCCAATGCATGTTGTAAATCTGCTTCATTTTCTGCGCAAAGTACAATGTCATCGGCATAACGTAAATTATTAATATTTACACCCCCAATACTACACCTTTCATATCTGAAATTTCCCTGAATACCAACTCTGTGCACAAGTTGAACAGAGAAGGGGACATTACGCTTCCCTGACGTACTCCTCTTTTGATTTTTGTGTAACCTGTATTATTCCATTGTTAATTTTGATGACAGCTGAGAGCTGACAGCTGAAGAGAGAGGCAAAGAGGGAGGGGGAGAGATCGAGAGAGAGAGAGAGAGAGAGAGATAGAGAGAGAGATATGGAGAAAGAGAGAGAGAGAGAGAGAGAGATAGATAGGAACGGAAGGTGGACACGGTGGAGGACGTAAAGGAGAGAAGAGGATATAAATAGAGGGAGGGGAAAAAGGAAAAGGAAGGGGAACGAGTAGTACACGACACCTATAGATAAATTGTTTACTATCTATCTGAAAATTAATAGACAAGTTTCGCAACGTGTCCACGTCGGATGCGCAGGTCCCCGCGAAGCGCGCGGACGCGACTGACTCCACCCACCCGCCAGGAACAATCGTATCCCAGCAGGCAAAATGCGAATTGCACACGATATCCGCTACCAGGCTGGCAATACATTAGAGCTCGCCTTACCTAGCAACAACCAACGCACGCAACTCACACCGCCCACCGAAACACAACCACTCCCAACAGTGAATGGAGCCACCCGCATCCAGACACCCCAACAAATTAAAGACTCACTCACCCAACCCAAACACACTACGAAACTGGTCCATTATGTTGCACATTTAAAAAAAACGGCTTTATGATAAATTATGCGTAAAAACAGGGCAAAGGCAAGATTGAGCAGGGGGTCAATTGGCAGGTGTTAGAATTACAAGGAAAATATATAACTGGTTGGCCTTCAAAGGGTTGATTCATCACCAATAGGGTCATCGTTTAACATTAGCATTAAACATATGAATGACATTCGGTACAAAGGATTGTCTGTAACGACAGCGATTGTATATCATTTGGCAAATACTAGTCAAATGTTCACCCCAAATTCTTTTAAGGCCACAATTTCTTCCCGTATTATCCCATCTGGCCCTTCAGATTTAGAAGTTCCCAGTGAATGCAGAGCTTGTTTAACTTCTGGTTCCAGTAAACTTGGACCCTCGCTTTCAGTGATTGGAAGTTCTGGACCTCTATCATCATCAAATAGGTCTTGGATATGTTCTTCCCATCTTTGTTTAATATCATCCTTTTCAAAGAGGGAAGGTGTTCCATCTTTGTTCTTGATACATCCGCTTGCTGCCTTGTTTTTCTTCTTCTTAAAATGCTTGATTTCTCTGTGCGTTTCATTTGTTTGGTTTGTCTTGGAGAAATGCTCAATTTTGAACTATAGGTTGGTCATTATAATGTACCTTATTTGCAAAAGGCAGCAACTCTTCCCGAATGCTATTTACAGCAGAACTAATTGTTCGGGGACCAGTCAGGCTTTTATCTCGTTTTTCTTTCTGTGTGTACTTCATGATGTTGCAGACAATGTCAATGGTAATATACATAGTGAGGTACCAAACTCTTCCATGGCCGTTGGCTCCATATGAGCTCATCCGCCCTTAAGTTCTATATGTTATAGATCTGTAGGAAGGCTACACACCCTATGTTATTCGGGTGATGGTTCAGTTGAGCTGTCGCGAGCATCAAGAGAATGGCATGATGAAACAGCAAACACCTTAAACTACGAACTAGCCCTACCGCGAAAAAAAAGCCTGATCTTGCTGCACCGTTCTCTAACAATTTAAGGTACAAGACCAGCTAGAACATCATTAACAGGTGCTCTAGTAAGGCAGGTTATACCCTACTTACTAGTTAGAGCTAGCCATGTATCATCCAACTTGATCTCCCATAACTCTCAAGGCATCTACAACTATCCATCACCCTGCACGTCGATGGCTGTACTGTCTACGGCATTACAGTAGCGATTGTGAGACAAGAAGCACTCAAAATTGGCCAGACGGAGGCAACTTTTAGGTTGCGTTAATACCTACGCTAATCAATCAATAAGCCTATAAGGTGATGATTGCTTGCGCCAGTAATTCAACTCAGTTTTTCCACTGTTCGTTTCACGCTTGTTTTTTAAAATATGATAGCAGTTTATAAAAGACCACTGTAGTCACTGACGCAGTCCTACGTTAGTAAAAAAAAAAAAAAAAAACGCTTCGTGTGCAACGGACATCAGTTCATTGTACTTTATATTCTTTCTCATTTTCTTCCTTTGGTTGTTCATTATACATAAGATGTTACTATTGCTTTAGTTTGACCTGGTATGTGGAATGGAAGATCAGACTCAAATATCCCAATCAGTTTTCTACGGCAGGTTTCCTGGCTGGTTCAATCATCAACGAAACATTTGCGGATATGTAATCAATAGATTTAAAGGGGATCCGTCATGCATGTCCTTGTTTAGCTTGTTGCGGTTTGGGTTCGGGGTTTTCGTGGTGCCGTGGTGCTGCAATTTAACGGTCATTATCCTATTATATTTGAGGGGTTTTAATTTTGCAGTTATGGTGGTCCATTAAATATATCCTTTACGAAATGCCTAATTTTGTACATCTCAATTTTGACTGGATAATTATCTGTAAAATATACATCATTATCTAAAATTTACAACATTGTATATTTTAATTCATGTTGTATCGTTTCCACCCTACATTTCGTTGAACAAATCGCCCACATGAAGATATATAATGTGTGTGAGTGTGTGTTTGTGTGTGAGTGTGTGTGTGTACAAATATGATTTTATATATACAATACATATATAAAGTCACACTTGTATAGACATACATGTATATAGAAACATATGTAAATCTCTCACAATATTGCAACGTATATAGCTGAAAGGCCATCCCACAAAATACTTCATCTGTACTTTCTGAAGGAAATCAGCCTTCATGTACATATCATTCCTGGCGGTACGTTTGCCTTAAGTACGTCATAAGGTTATGATCATAATGATTACCGTAAGTATGACAATGATCAGCAAAGTTATTTTAATCATCTGCAGCATAGTCTACATTATTTCCATTATCTTCATCGTTATCGTCATCGCCTCCATCGTTACCTTCGTCATCATTGCTACGTGTATTTTCGTCATCATCATTATCATTGTCATCACCACCGCCATCACCACAACCATCATCATCATTACACCACCATCATCATCGTCATCATCATAATTTCATCATCATTTTGTCGTCATCATTACAATCTTCATCTTTTTCTTTATTATCTTCGTCGTCGTTATTATAACCACAATCGCCTTCGTAATCATATGCCATCATTTTCTCACGGCCGTTGTCATTTAACAAATTGTATCATTGCTTGTAGATTTCAACTTTTGCTTTATACTTGTATGTTTGAAGAGTTGGACGATGGTGGATACTTATGGTATTGATGTTAGTCCGGCTAATCACGGGGATAGCTATAGCATTCTCACCCAACTGGTGGGTCTTCACTGTCCTGCGGTTCTTCCAGGGGTATGCTGCTATCTCTCTTTATATCATCGCCTTCATTGTAGGTAAGAGATTAAAGTGGACATTCAAAGAAAATCATCATGTGTCAAATAATGTAACACTAGAAACTGGTAAGCTAACATGTGGTAATCGTACAAGTTTAAGGTCAGCTACATATCGGTTGATTTATACAAATACAAAAAAAGCACCTCAATATCATCTAGGATATACGAAAGATTCGCCAGAAAAAGAACGATGTTTTAATGACGTCACATAATGCACAAATAGTGCCCAAGCAAACGACATCTCATAAAGAATGAAAATAATTGCAATGCTATTATTTCTCAAATTATAATGAGTTTGGTGTATATAAAAGTAACGGCATTTCACACCATTCAAAAGGTTATACGAAACAGATTTTGATAACTAAAATTCTGTTGTTTGTAAATACACATAATATAGGGTTAATTAACAGTAAAAGAAACAAGACTTTCAAATTGAAAAAACCCCAGAATAATAGCATGGACGGCATTTGTTCCCTCTTGAAACGCCGAACTTACCGCGGTGTATGCAGCTTGAAGTACAATGGCGTCTTATTTTGTTTACAAGCGACAGATTCCGTTTTTTTATCGATGCATTTTTCATCAAAATAATACCATGCGCGGGGTTTAGAGTGAGGCAATAGATTGAACATTTAGCCTAACGGTAGTGGAGTGAGAAAAAGAACTGAAGAGAAGATGACAAAACAGGCACTGAAAATGTGTGCGAAAGATGGGACATCGTCTGCTTGTGCAAATCATGTCCATTCTCAGCAGCGATCGGACAGCTCTTCAGTTGCTAATAATCTTTACCTCGAATGTTTCCAAGCATTAAATTTTGATAAACTTGTCCAATCAAAGTTTCACCTTTGCAATAATGAAAATGAAGTTAGTTTTTAAAATCAATAAATATCTACTTTGAGAAGAATGTGGTAGCCCTTCTCGTCCACGCCCTATAGCGCTCATAGTGCTAAGGCAAATGTTGACTTGTACCTTTAATTCTAAGATTTGACTATGAACCCCTTCTCTAAATAAATAGAAAATGCACATGTCCTTATACAGCGCAAATTCTCAGCTATATCATATCTAAATTCGGAAGAAAATTGAGTTGAAACAACACTGACAACAGAACATTGAGAATATGACGTCAGTAATTAAGATATACAACCTTACTTTAAATTGCAATTTGATGACGTCGTAACCTCTGTTAAGTATAAATGAGGCATGAAATCATATTTTCTTTTCACGCCCTTTGAGAATATGCAATAAAATCTGGGGGTCACCTTTCATTCTGAAGAGTTAAAGTACTATCAAATTTGGCTCCAAGCGGGGATCTCTACAACAACCATTATCTGAAACGGGTTTAAAATAGAATAAAGAATCGTTTAAGACATTGGGAATACACTTTTCTTTTAATACCAACCGTTTATTTGACCTTAATTGTAAGATAAAACTTAAGTCAATTGAAAATACTCTGAATTGTTGGCGCGCTAGAAATTTATCCCTAGTTGGGAAGATCTGTGTCGTAAAGACACTATTGTTGCCTCAACTTTTATGTTCTCTGTGTTATGTATTAAGATACCAAAATCTTTTTTTAAAACATTGAATACAATTTGTTATAAGTTCATATGGAATGGAGGCAATGATAGGGTCAAAAAACAATTCATGTGTAATGATTTTTCGTTATGTGGTTCAAAAATGATTGACCCCTATTCACATGCTATTGCTCAGAAAATGTCTTGGGTTAAGATGCTACTAGACGATAATTATATAAGCCTATGGAAATTCATTGAGCTTTCTGTTTTAGTAAAGTTCAATAAAGAAAAGAACATTTTATGAAAGGCTCATGCCCCTGACCAAATTTTGAACAAATTATACTCGAGTCAATTAGCTGATTCCCTTCGAACGTGGTACATTTTTAGAGAAAACTTTGTGAAAGCTGAATTTGATATGGCTTTTTCTTCAATTGGATCTTGTCAATGTATTTGGTTTAATAAGAATATTAGCTCAAAATCCAAAAATTATTTTTTTGTATCAGGGTTGGATTGATAAAGGTATTATTTTTATAAGTGATTTGCTTAATCCTCCTCACCCTGGTAGCAAACTTTTTGAAGAATTGATACTTGATTACGATATTAGTCCTAGGGATAGAAGGAAATACAATTTTCTTATGACAAATGTTCCTTCTGATTGGTTGGTCTCATCAGATCTTAATCATGATGTAATCTTTGATGCCTTTGTCAATACACTTGTGCATTCTAGGAAGGTTCCTAAATATGCTTATAATGTCATTCTAGAGCAACATGTTCCCGAAAAGAAATTAACATTCTGGAAAGAACTTTCTGACCCTAACCTTGTTGATTGGGACAAGATTCATATTAATCATTTCAAATGTTCTATAAGCACTCGCATTCGTTCATTTTATTTCAAACTATTTCATAAAGTCATAGCATTAAATAACTTTTTGTTCAAAATTAAACGAAAGAATTCTCCTAATTGTTCATTTTGCGATAATGAACCCGAGACTTACCTACATCTTTTCATCGAATGTCAGACTGTAAAACCCATTTGGGATATTACCATTAAAACTATTAATCAGAAGATTAATAAAGTAGTGAATTTTTCAATATTTGAAAGAATGTTTGGCTATGAAAAGGATATGTTTTTGACGTATTTATTTCTTATGCTTAAATACTACATTTATTTATGCAAATTTCAAAGTAAAATACCCAATTTTCAGGGTTTCAGAACTTACATTGACTATAAAAAAGATCTTGAATATCGTATTGCAAAAAAGAAAAACAAACCGCCCTTGCCCTTAAAAAAATGGAAGTTTGTCTTATAATCCCGTTTGATAATGTTGTAAATGGTGTAAATTTACTTTTCGTGAGGTTTTGATCTACGTTTTACTGCTTTTTTGTAATGTTTTTATAATAACTTGTAAATATTGTGATTGTTTTTTTTTATTGTTCAAAAAACAATTTTTAAAAAAATTCAAAAAAAATTGTCAAGAATAGGATCAGGAACCCAAATATTTGTAAAAGTTGGGTTTTTAGCTTTCATAAGTCCAGCGTACGGGAAAATGCGAGCGTATGCGCGTGACCGCGAATTTTTGGGAAAAGGTTGAGAATAGCCTTAAAAATATGCAAACTTAATTTGAGACAATTTTGAGCATTTTCTATTTGTTGGGTGATACGTTGATATGCTGCGCATTAAGTGTCGTGATATAGTATATTAAGTATTATGCCATTTTGTTAATCTCTAGATGACGTCACATTATGCAAATGACATACGTGTGTCTAGGCCTCAATAGGGTCTTATAGGGAAATGTACAGAAAGAAAACAAACTAACAATCCTTACGAATATAAGAGGTGTTATATACAATTGTATATACCTCCTACTAATATCAACCTTTTTTCTGCCTCTATTCTCTAGGAACCGAGTTTGTCGGGCCATCGAAACGTAACGTCACCGGCATTATCTTCGTCATCCCTTTTGCTCTCGGCAACGTTTGCCTCGCGGGCATCGCCTACTTCGTACCATACTGGAGGACTTTAGAACTTATTTGCGTCTCCCCGGCACTGATCTACATTGGCTTGATGTTGTAAGAGGTTTTACAGAGTCATTACTCGTTTATATCTGTAGTGTGATGTCTATGCAGGCATTAGATTCTCATAACTCTCATCAGCGTTTAATTGGTTTGGATTACAAGATTCAAAGAAAACCTCACCCCCCCCCCCCCCCAAAAAAAAAAAAAAAAAAAAAAAAAAACTTTATATATTCTGAGAGATTCATTGAATCCTACAAGATTCCCCACCAAAGTATATGAGAGAGGCAAAAAGCAAGAATAATATACAGTAGTATGTGAAGTCGTTCATCACGTTAATGTATTCAAACTCATGGAGGACCCCTTCCTAGGTGTGTTTGGGATGATGAAGCATTTCATTCACCTCCTATTATCCTTTGTACTACAAAAGCCAAAACGTAAATTACATAAACAAGTTGGTGCTCTTCTTGGGTAAAGGTTTCTCATGAATGAAAAATATTTGCCAACTGCTATATATATTTTTAAATAAATTAGTTGCGATTTTTCTCCTGTTATATATTTTTATCTTCTCAGCTATGATTTTTCCTCGTTGAATAGTAAATGATTTCTCACTAAAGCTTGGTGCATAATACATGTACAAATTAAACTGGTACGTCACATTTTCAAGAAAATGGCTGCGCACATGTCATGCTAAAAGGCATTCAAATTCATGATGTTCAAGCATACGTTAAATAATTGCATTAGATTTAAGATTGGTTCGAAGAAGAGCAATAATCCCTTTGTTTTGACGCCGACGATTCACGGTTATATTAAACAAAAACACAGGAAATTATACACCCTTTACTTCACCCAAACACCCTAAGTTTCATATTTCCACATCTTACAATGTTGTGACAACGCAAGTTTTTTTTTGTTTCTCTCCTGTCAGCTTTCTTCCGGAATCAGTGCGTTGGCAAATATCGATGGGAAAGTATGACGAGGCTGAGAAGGCTCTAGTGAAGATTGCCAACTCGAACAACAAGCCCCTTTCAAGTCCATTTTTCAGCAGTGAATTCAAGAAGGAACAAGTAAGGATTTAGATATAAAGACCAGTTCTGGTATTATGCGATTGCATTGTGAAAGAGAAAAGTGGCATATGCAGAAATCAATTAACAGGGAAGCGGATCCTCTCAAGCAAGATGATGAAGGAAGGGGGTGGAGCACCAGATGGAGGAAAGAACAGTAGGATAAGGAGAATATGTAATGACTTTGGCGGTTCACTTGCTGTCGAATTAGTTTGGTGGGTTTGTGTGTGTTCGCACGTGTGTTTGTGTGTGGTGCCAACTTGAAGCAAAGTGAAAATTCAGACGACGCAAAAATAATGTATTTGTTTTCATAACGACTCCAGAGCCCTCTATACACAGGGTTTGGCCAACTTGTTTTCACTAGGTCACAACAAGGCGTATATTATTTTGTTTTGTGCTTGCCCAACAAAGCAGTAGTCGCCATATTTTCTCCAACTCGAACCGGGTTGGCCAAACACTCCTAATCAATGGCACTGAACGGCTCTTGAATGCACCCCTCCCCGGTAAAAGAGTTAACTGGTAATTTCCAATGGTGGTAGGGAGGAAAACAAAACCATTTCCAGTAATTCATCGTTTTTTTTTAAATCTCTGTTTGTCCTAATAAGTACTTGATTTGATGTTATTTATTTTTCCACTCAAATATCCATAAGTTTGAATGAAATATATAAACTATACAGTATAACAATACATAATAAAACAAATAGATTATACAAGTAACGAAATACGTTTGTAATAAAATAAGTTTACAGAGTACATTTAAGTTTTAGAATAAGAGACAAAATATTTTAAATTGCTTGATAAACTAAGAGGGAAAAAAAGGGAATCTCAGAATAGGTAGGCTTGTTATTCGAGATTTAGAATTTAGAATTGATTCTAGTTACTTTCTCATGACATGCAATTCTGTCACCACAGACATTGCACATATTCATATTGATTTTCAGAAAGACAATCTAATGCTCTCTTACATTTAGGATATGTGTAAATTATTATTACTATAAGTAATAATATTAGTATTATCATTATGATTATAATGAATATCAATTATAGTTAATATTATTATTATGATTATTATTTTCATTACTATCGTCAATATTATTATCATTAGCATCATCATTATTTTTATTATCTTTATTATTCGTATAGAAGACCGCACCAAAGGAGAGACGAGCTACAGGAATTGATTTATTCCGCCAGCCTCGAATGAGACTACGAACCATCAATCTTATCTTTACCTGGTTTGTCTCATTTAATTTGAACTTCTGATTTAGCCTAAGGCTTAAAATGAATAAAAGGGAATGTTATTAGTAGTAGTAATACATTACATTATCATTATTATTTTTGCTATTGTAATTATCATCAGTATCGATACAGTTGCTAGCTACGATTGCATTAAGGGCTGCCTAGCAATATAGGCCTACTATGTGTTTACAAAGCACTTTACGGCTGTTACAGCAGTAGTAAATATTCTGACGCTTGTTATGAATTATAAATTATGATGCAACGTTAACACATGGGCATTGGCTACTATGTGGCTTCAGTCATAGTTTTCTCTTCTTCGTGTTGTCCTTTATCAGGATGGTGAATGCCACGGTGTACCATGGTCTATCACTAAACACCTCAAACCTCGGTGTAAACGACTACGTCGCCTTCGCAGTGTCAGGAGCCGTCGAGATCCCCGCTTACCTTCTTGCTGTGGTCGCTGTAGAGATCAAGTTTATTGGACGAAGGATTAGTCTCAGCGTGAGCATGTTGGTCGGCGGCGTCGCTTGCCTCTTTACAACCTTCATACGTAAGATAATTACATTTTCATTGATTGAATTTTTGCTTAAAGGGATCGTTTAACAATGTTAAATCTGAGATGCACGGCCCTACTTATTATCAGTGTCTGCGATATGGTATAATATTGAAACCTAACAAAATTGCGCTTAAAATGATCAAGAAGTGCCTCAAATAAGTAAAAATCTTTGAGTGGCCGGTTTTACCATACTCGTTTTCCCTAATAGACTGGAGTGTTATGAAAACCCTTTTACATACGGTTTTCAAAATTTGTAATTTCAATCATAAATATCTTGATAATCAGACAGGCGATCGGCTTGTAAAAGTCATGGGGTTCCTGACTGACATAAAGGATGATTGCAGCATGAGCTAAATCCAGAATTTTGTTTCAGAATGTGACACAAATTTACCGGATCCCTTTAAGGTTCTGACATCAGTCCTTCTCCTCTCCTCCTTACCCAGCCCCATCCCTTTATTTCTCTCTCTCTCCCTCTCTACCTATCTCTCTCTCTCTCTCTCCGCCCTCTCTCTCTCTCTCTCTTTTCCCCCTGCCTGTACACTCAACAAATCTGAATCGATCAAAGCAATCGTGAAAACAGTGGCAGCTCATGTATTTAAAAGATAAGGACAGCTAATTGTATGCTATCGCAGTTGACAACCAAAATAGATTAACGTCGACGCCCCTTTCCCATAAGTATGTACCATATGTACATAACAGCTGCAAGAAAGATGACAATATCATTTTAACAACATTTTTTCATTCACCCATTTATCTGAACTTGAACAAAAGTCTGCCAATACCCCTTCAGCGATCACTTCCAACAACTTATTTATTTATTTATTTCTATTCCTCTTTTTTGTTTTCTTTCTTTCTGTTTATAATATAGCACCCGGAGCAGCACTTACATCAGTTGCAATGATTGGTAAATTTGGAATTTCGGCATCTTTTGCCATCCTGTATCTCTACACCGCGGAGCTGTACCCAACCAATATCAGGTAAAGCTTGCGTACATATACGCGGTTTTCAAAATAGTGTACTCAATTAATTTCGTTGGCACGGTTAAAGATATTAATAACATCAGCTTTAGAAATTAAAATGATTATAACAAATATTGAAAATTGAATAAAAATGAATGAATAATTGAATAAATGAATGAATAAATGAAAGAATAGATAATAAATAAATAAGTATACTAAGCCAAACCATTCAAGTTAATGCTTTATCCGAAATTATTTACAACTCGAAGAAATAATTAGGTAAAATTGCCTGGAACACCACGGAATTGCAACAAACAATAAGACAGTAATGTTGATACCATTAAGATTTGTTAATACGGTAGACTGAGAAAAACACTTTTCTGTTCGGATGTTTGAGCAATTGAAGGTTCCAAAGGGCAATTTTGACATTCAAAATGGTTTCAAGTCACTTTATTTATTCTATTCATTTGGAAACTTCATGAATATGGCTACTTCAAAAAGACGTCGATATAAGTATATTCATTTCATATGACATCATCTCCTTGAGAAACATAGGAGCGTGGCCATGGGAACCTGCTCGATGTTTGCACGTGTCGCCGGCATCCTGGCGCCCCTTATACTCACACTGGCCAAGGTTTGGACTCCACTACCCCTCGTCATCTACGGGTCCGTCTCAGTGATCGCTGGCCTCCTGACTCTCTTCCTCCCCGAAACATTAGGCCAGAAGCTCCCCGAAACGATCGAAGAAGGCGAAAATTATGGAATGTATGTAAAATATTGTTCTAGCTAATCTATTCACACACCCCTCTCTCACTCTCTCTTTCTCTCTCTTTCTCTCCTGCCTGCATGCTTCATTCCCTCCTCCTACCCTCCATCTCACTTCTCCATCCCCCTACTTCCTCTAGCCTCCCAATCCCCAACCCCTTCCGCAATCCCCACCCCTCTTCCTCCTCTCCCCAACTCCCTCCATCCGCTGTTATTACTTATTTCAATGACAATGCAAATTATTAATTCTTTTTCTTTAACTGCCGCGCACTCTATCTTTAACAAATAATGAGATTATCTTGGTGTGTATTATTTCTAGAAAATGATATACTTTCTTTTTTAGTAGTTGATAAGTTCTGCATTTTATGATTCACTTATATACAAAGAGAATCACTCAAGAAACCGAAAAGAGGGCAAATTTATTTGACTAAGTTTAAACCGTGTTTGATATAACTCCTATCAAACAAGCTTTACTTCTGGATGGTATTTCGCAACGTCCCATTAGCAACCAATCGAGAAGGGATTGGGAGTGCACATTTGCGTTCATAGTCCTAGATCGTTGCTTTTATTTTGCTTTTGGAAGAAGATGGATACTTGAAGTTTGTGTGTTTTATCGTTTATAGTGCTCTAAAGATCGCTTGATTTATGTTCCAGTCCTCGATGGAGTGTAAAATTAAGGAATATTCAAAACTGTTGGTAGGGGTAGAGTATCATATATAATTATACTGAGGAACGTATATTACCCTATAACGCTACACCAAACCTAAAACACACACTTCAACTCTTAACCCTCTACACCTTTGATATCCCGGAGCAATTTATTGTTGTAGTAGCAAATGTTGAATCGCCCATATGTGTAACGCTGTGATCTTGTTATCTTCACACAGGGAATCTGACGAGAAGAACACCCTTTCCGGTAAAGATGGCGTCTACATTCGCTGCCAGGATGATGAAGAGGTCACCATCATAGATTAATTTAATCCTTTATTTAATTTTCAAGATGAGAATGACCTCGGCAAACGGGAGAATGACGTGCGAGACGATCTACCTGAATAACCCTAGAAAAAGTACTTTTGCCAAAAAGCGTTGTACAAAACGATAAATCGGAATGAAGAAGTACTGTAAACATTTAGCAAACACATTCGATAATTAAACGTAATGGGAATGTCAATATCATATTGTGCGTCCAACATATATCATGTTTTGGGTGATGTGTTACGTTATTGTCATGTTGGCTGCAATGTTTACACATTTTGAATAAATGACGGAGGAGCTTATCAAAATTGCTCATAAACAGTTGTATTAGGTGGGTTTTTTCGACAGTCTTTGCAGTTGTCTGTGTCTATTGATATTGCACTGTTACGCTGTTGCTATTGAGGGAACACCATCTTTGCATGAATTTTTAGATCCCATTCCCTCACATTGTTTAACTAGAGTTGTTAACCTCTCGATGAAAATCAGTTTCTTTCCCCCACAGTAGAATTATATTCATACGAATTTTAAATTGGATAATTTCCATTGGCTGAAACAAAACATGGAAGGCTGAAACTATGCTAAACACAGCGATTAGCAGTGTGGAAATACTCTTCAGATCATAGAATTCATGTCCTTCTCCCCGAACAAAAATTTGTGAATTAAAGTTTACTCTCGTAGAATCCAAACAAAGATGGCATAATTGCCACAGTACAAGAACCGATCGACCGACCACCTTGTTGACAAGGGGAAAACGTATTATCTCTCCTTTTCTCTCTCTCACTCCTCTCTCTCTCTCTCTCTATCTCTCTCTCTAACTCTCTCTCACTCTCTCTCTCGTTATCTCTCTCTCTCTCTCTATCTCTCTTTTTTTTTTTATCTCTCTCTATCTCTTGGGTATCAATAATCTCTTATCTATACTGACGTGTTATTGCCCTTTATATCAATAGCAGTATTCTATAAACAATTTTGTTAGACACTATAATATTTATTACTTATTTATCATAAACTCGTTAAAAGTATAACGTATCGTGATAATACAAAACGTGGAGAAGATGGGATGCACCCCCACCCCAAACCGAATTATAAAGAAAAAAACATTTTGGAAATCACCACCATATATTCGGTCACTGTGTGCACTTTCTTGTTTTTTTTAGACAATTTATTCGATGACAAACTTAAATGTTTTACTATAGATAAACAAAATTTTGCTCGCTTGATTTATTCGCTGGCCAAAATTAAAAACTCGAGAGAGAGAGAGAGAGAGAGAGAGAGAGAGAGAGAGACCCTTACGAGATATGGTGTATATGCGCTTTTGCCAGTGTTCTTTTTTTCCCCCCTAAAGTTTAGTTCAACATTGAGATAATGGTCATATATTTCATGTGAGTATATAAATGTCCTAGGGAGGGAAAAGGTGATGGCGTAAATAAAGTTTTACCTTTATTGATTTTGGTACATTTCAGCATTACGACTATTACATGGTAAGGCTATTGAACACCATTTTGACCTTTGTATTTATGATTAACTTGTCAGCTGAAGTGTATCAGTACGTATTATTGGCATATATTTTTCTGTATTCTCTTGCAATGTACTTTGTTATACACCCATTTGTATAAACAAACAAGCGATTTAACCAGGGCTGTTTTTGTTTTTTAATTTTTGGAAGGTATAAATTAATATAAATTTACGCTTTCATATTTTGTTCATTACAAACGTTCTCGAAACGACTGTCCTAACGCAAAAGTATCTCAATATCACTTAATGAAATTAGTGTATAAATAATGATGCAATGATGAAGTACAAAGTCAACAACAAAATTGTACAGAGTGTGATTTTTTACAAGAGTTATATTGGATGCCTATACTTTGAATAATTACGGATATTAGTGAACTAGTGAATGATTGAGGAGATGGGCGAGAGATAGAAAGATAAAGAGACACAGAAAGAACACAAGAGCGAAGGAAGAAAATAATGAATGAATGAACAAATCTATAACTTAATAAATGCATGAATGTATAAATGAATCGATAAATGAATAAAGGTAAGAAAGAACGTATGCCTGCAGGGGCGGTGATACCGGGGTTAGGAGTACGTTTCCCCCATGACAATCTTAAGGAGGATCTTTAGGTAATATTTTCGTGAAGTAGGTCATTGTTCTTTATAAAGCCTCATCGTTAGGTAATTATGGATATAAGAAGTTGACGTGTAGTAAGGTAGGATGTAAGGGTCATTTGAACTTATTAATTTATGGACATCCACCCCCGGATAACCACCTCTAGTCAACTACCCCTTAGGACAAGTACCCCCTAGCGCAACCACCCTTTAGGACGACTACCCTGCGGGACAACTACCCCGGACATCTACCTCTAGACAACTACCCCCTAGGACAACTATCCCCCAGACAACTATCCCCCAGACAACTAACCCCAGACAACTACCCCCTACGACAACCATCCTCTAGGACAACTAACCCCCGGAAAACTATCCTAGGGGGTAATTATCCAGGGGGAAGTTGTCCTAGGGGGTAGTTATCTGGGTGTTAGTTGTCCGGGGGTATTGTCACGGGGTGAAGTCGTCTTACAGGGTGGTTGCCCTAGGGGTACTTTTCATAGGGGGTAGGGGTCCTGATACACAACTTTGCACACTTCAGAGCACTGAGTTAATGTGATCTTAGTATTCATACTTTTTTTTTTTTTTTTTTTTTTTTTTTTTTTTTTTTTTTTTTTTACTTGTAATGAGGTTTATGCACAGCTTCAAATCTAAACACGTTCAAGTGAGTGGGCGTCACTATCGAATCCCTTCAACCGCCGAGCCCTTATTTTTATTAGGCCACTTCTATAAACCCGATGACATTCTCTTTTTTTATGTTACTAAGCTCATAATAATTAGCTTCATAAAATGCTGGTTGAACCTGAAAAGGGGAGGTTAGTTTGGTCATTACCTTTATCGCGTTATTGGGTCGCAAAACGAAATTAGTAAATACTATAAACGGTAAATCCACACATATTTTAAATGGTTCAGTTGTTCAATAAAAGTGAAATGAGAACTAGAAGGACGTTATTGTAGCGCAACAAAGTCCATGCGTCCTTCTGGAGCTTGGCACTATGCCAGAAGAGGTAACGCAATTTCAAATCACTGTAAAGAAACTTCATGAACTTGTTCATGTTCATTTCGCAAATTACTGCAGGAATATAGTAAGCCTACAACTCTCTGTTACAACGGATCGCCACCCTACAACGTTGTCACTGTACTTTATTTTCTGGATTCGTCTTTGAAGACAAATTTGTGTCGTGTTCATTACTGACTTAATCCCCATCGTCAATCATGATTAGGCTGGATGATATTTTGGTGCAGATCGGCGAGTTCGGGCCTTATCAGAAAAAGGTTTTCGCCATTGTCTGTATGATTGGTTTCACCGCTTCATGGCAATCAATGATCGTCGTTTTCCTAGCCGCATCCGTGGACCACTGGTGTGCGGTGAGTATTGATGTTAATTTTTAAAGGGCAACCCAACCTTATAATAATGTAGCGAAGTAGAGATACCCCCCCCCCCCTTTAAACCAGATAACCCCCCCCCCCCCCCTCTCTCTCTCTCTCCTATTTCATCATCCTCTCTACTGGAGGTCAACAAATTATAGTAAGATGAAACCTGGTCATTTCCACTTGTCCAAATATTCCCAGAATAGGATGTTTGTAGATAATGAGAATGCCCTTTATGTTATTGGAGTTTAGGTCCATTCACATGAAGGAAAAGATAGGATTTAATCTGTTCGCATGGGACTTTGACTGCTTCATGAAAAATTTCTAGAATTTCAAAAGGTTTAATAAGATTAATAAACATAGTTTCAGAAAATTAGAGAAATGTGTAGAAGTATCAGGTAAAGTACTTTTAATTTCAGATGCAATTCTACTAAAATATTCATTGCATGTATTAACTACTTCTTGACCGTCATAGACACATATTCCATGTTTTTCAATAAAATCGACTTGTACCTTTTCACGAACTGAAGAAAGTAATTCATGTATGATTTTCTAAGTTGCTTCAGTATTATTTGAACATCCTCAAATGATTTACAGTAATAATCCCTCATGCATTTACGTATTGCACAGGTGACATTATTTCTCATTTGAATATACACTTATTTCCGGTATAAACTTGGATTTTTTATATATTTCTGATACGTTATAGTTTTCTTTTTGCACAATTTTTTTGAAGTTTGGAGGTAAACCAAGGCTTAGAAATAGATTTATTCTTACGTTGGGTAAATATTTGTTAAAGTTGTCATTCGAGATACGCATTTAAAAATCAAATTCACTATCGACATCCTTATATATGTATGCAAATCCTAATTTATTACTATTAGCATTTCACACAATTTGGCAATTGTTATTATCATTGACGTCACGTTTTTTTAACAGTTTTATATTCGTTTAAATCGTCCGCAACTGGAAGTTTGCGAGCTGTTAAATCAGATCTGGACTAGCCTATGAACAAAGTACCATTGTACAAGGAAGGATAGTGAATAAAATCAGCATTACAAATTAATAAGAAATTACGTTGGTGTACCTGTGGCAGTATTTACATGTACATCAATAACAATTCCTTATGCACGCTAGCTTACATGGTTTGTTATAATCCCTGAATTCTACCAATCGATATTGTTTATATATTTGTTTGTATATTAATTTGTTCGTGTGTTTGTTAGTTTTTAACTCAATTTGTTTTTATATTTTTCTCGAAATAAGTAACTAATCCTTTCATTCGATACCAGGTGCCGCAATGGGACGATTTCGACTGCAGCGCCACCGGTCTCAGCGAAGAAACATGCATGCTCGCCATGAAGAACGCAAGCATCCCTGCCAACTACACGAGCGGCCACCAACTCGTCTTTGAGCAATGCGTGAAATACAACGTGTCTGGGGAGGCATTCAATCCGGAAATCGACCCGTTCCACGACCCCGGCTGGCCGACATCGCAAGTCATTGAATGCGACAGCGGATGGGTGTACGACACAAGTCAATACAAATCGTCCATAATAACGGATGTAAGCTACTTCCCTAATATATAAACCCAAACGCGCACAAGTGGCATACTGAATGTATTAAGAGAGGGGAGTATACTTGTAAGATTATTTTTACAGCGGCATCTTTTCAATTATAAATGATCTCCCTTAAAATTAACTTTGCTCAATATTTTGTTTCAACAGAATGTTTGAAGATTTTTTCCTCTCTAACATATCTAACATGTCCTGTTTATATAAATAACCCTACAGATAAAGACCAGTTATGGTCATGCGTTTGCATTGTGAAAGAAACGTTGTGGAATCGATCAGAAAAGGTTGATCATCTAGCATATAAGTATTGGGGTGTACTGCAAGGTTCTGGAATCATCAAAATGATAAGAAATATGGCCTTGTCTTCGTAAAGTTACAAGCACTGTACACAGAAAGATGTATATGGGACTACGTAAACGTGCGCGACACGTGCGTTTATCTCTCACAGGCCAATAGATAAACTAATTTACCAAATATATCAATTAGTAGGCGGTTTCCCGGCAAAAATGTTATCATCATGTATTAGTCAAAACATATTCTGTCACATGATTGGTAATAAGAGCTTCCATTTGTATTTTTTTTTAAATTGGGGCGTTTCCAATACTGGTCTTTATCTTTAAGTGCGTTGTTTCATCCATTATTTATTTCAAAGAAATTGTATTACATGGGACCCAGGACCTTGATCTCATTCCAGACTCAGGGCAGGTCATATAATTTTACAGCACTATAACAAATGTTAATCATTTGGGGTTTATATTTGGTCGTCCATTATTTCGAATAGATTTTAAACTCGTATCAAATGTATACCCGTACAAAGGAATACTACTATTAATTTGCCTATTACTATTTGTTACTATATAATCATCAGTTTGCATTATTTTTGCATTAGTAATTCCTTTTAAAACTCTACCACTGTCCATTATTGATTTTAATTTCTTTATTAACAATTAATAACAATAAAAACCACTCTTTTCTCTACCTCTCTGTAACGAAAGTTTTAAATTTTTGTCTTAACATAGATCAAATAGGTGTATATTTGGCATGTAAAAAAGCATACTATGTCTACTTATATAGTGATGCTAATTGTAATGAAACCTTGATGGAATACTAACAACACTAATCATTCAACGTGTATCTATCTGTCTTATTATCCCACAAATCTTTTCCATTATCTCGATACAATCTCATTCGAATGCTTGGGCGTTGCCCCATTTTTGTCTGTCTGTCTCCATCCTCCCCTTTTCAGTTTCCTCTCTCTCTCTCTCTCTCTCTCTCTCACTCTCACTCTTTTTGCATCCCTCCTCTCCCTTCCTGTCTCTTCCTCTTATTTGGTGTTTGAATAGTATTGAATTGAATTGAATTGAATTGAATTGATTTATTGTCCATAATATGGAAATTCATTGTTCACTGGTACAATTGTGTGTTACAAGGAAATGTACAAAATTAAACAGATTATAAAACATAATAACAACATAACATCAATGGCGTTTCATCTAAAAAAAAAAACCTGGTGTGCGGAACAGCAGATCAAACCCAAATATCCCAGTCGGCTTTTTACGCCGGGTATTGAGCCGGTTATATTATCAACGGAACACTGGCCGATATGTGAGATGAAACGATCTCATATTTAAAGTGTGTTGTGTTGTGTCTATTGTAATCTTCTCCCGGTTCGGAGGTTGATTGCAACATCTCTTCATTTCTCTCTATATTCTGCCATTCTGGTGCACTCTTGCAGTTTGAGTCCACTCCAGTTCTTGACATTCTCTTTCCAGTTGATTCTGGGTCCCCCTCTCGGTCTACATTCTTCCACTCTTCCTTCCAATACATCCTTTAAGAGGCTTTGGTGCCTTTCGATATGACCAAAGTATTTGATTTTACCGTATCAGGACAATAACCCCCTGGAAATTTACCCCCCGGAGGATAATCCCCGGAGGACAATTACCCCCCGGAAAATTACCCCCGGAGAATTACCCCCCCCCCCCGAGGGCAATAACCCCCGAGGACATCTACCCCCGAGGACAATTCCCCCGAGGACAATAACCCCCTGAGGACAATTATCCCCGAGGACAATTGCCACCTAGGACAACTACCCGCCATGGACAATTACCCCTCTAGGACAACTACTCCCGAGGACAAATACCCCCCAAGGACAACTAATGCCCGAGGAAAATTACCCCCCGAGGACAACTACCCCTCCCCCCCCCCCGAGGATAACTACTCCCCGAGGACAATTACCCCCCCCCCCCTCGATTACCCCAGAGGACAATTACACCAAGCAGACGACATCCCACAGAGAATGAACATAATTGCAAAGCTATTATTTCTCAAATTATAATGAGTTTAGTGTATTTAGTGTAATGTAATGTAATGGCATGTCAAACCATTCAAAAGGGGATATGACCCAATTCTGATAATTAAAATCTTTTGCTTGTAAATACACAGGATAGGGGTTAATTTACAATCAAAGAAACCAGACTTTCAAATTGAAAACCCCCGGAATGATATTAAGGAAGGAATTTGTTCCCTCTTGAAACGCCGAACATACCCCGGAGTGTGCAGCTGAATATACAATGGCGTCTTTTTTTGTTTACAAGCGACAGATTCCTTTATTTTTGTATCGCTGCATTTGTCATCAAAATAAAACCATGCGCGGGGTATAGAGTGAGGCAATAGATTAAACATTTAGCCTGACGGTAGTGAAGTAAGAGAAATAACTCAAGAGAAGATGAAAACACAGGCACTAAAAATGTGTGAGATGTCATGGGACATCGTCTGCTTGTGCAAGTCATGTCCATACTGTGATCTCACACATCTCTGCAGCGTTTGGAGAGCTCTTCAGGTGCTATGCCGGGGCTGTATAGTAAGCGTTTTGTAATTTATAATAATCATTACTTCGAATGTTTCTAAGCATTGAATTTTGATAACCTTGTCGAATCAAAGTTTCAATTTTTCAATAATGAAAATAAAGTTAGTTTTTAAAATCAATGAATATTTACTTTAAAATGTAGTCGATCTGATTTCTCTTTACATCTCCTGGGCTTTTCCAGGTGTAGGTTCTTCTTTTATGTGTTGGTAAAAAGGTGTTGGTTATCACTAGATAATATTCCTTACATAACTGAACAAGTCGATCACCCCGCTCATTTCGATTGCCTAGTCCATATTGTCCAACAATCTTTCCATCCTTACCTTCTCCGACTTTAGCATTCCAATCACCTATCGCGATATACAACTTCTGTTGATTTACAATGCTTTAGCATTTCAACTATTTGATCGTAATATTTGTTTTACCTGTTCATCACTGTAATCACTGGTAGGGGCAAACACTTGAATTACTGCTAGGTTAAACGGTTAAGCTTTCAGCTTCATTAACATCATTCTCTCATTTAATGTTCAGTAAACTAATGTGTTTCTAATGTGTTAACATTCCATGTCAAAATGCGCAGTCGCCTCCCTCTTGTTTTCAGGGACAGAGCATCACAGCCTCATCTTCCCGAAGGCTTTGAACTATAGGTTGGTCATTATAATGTACATTATTTGCAAAAGGCAGCAGTGTTCGGGGACCAGTCAGGCTTGCATCTCGTTTTACTTTTTGTGTGTGTACTTCATGATGTTGCAGACAATAGTAATATACATGGTGAGGTACCAAACTCTTCCATGGTAGCTGGCCGTTGGCTCCATATGAGCTCACCCGCCCTTAAGTTCTATATGTTACATATCTGTTATTCGGGTGATGGTTCAGTTGAGCTGTCACGAGCATGAGGAGAATGGCATGATGACACATAGCAAACACATTAAAATACGAACTAGCCCTACCACGAAAAAAATGCCCGATCTTGCTGCACCGTTCTCCAGCAATTTAAGGTACAAGACCAGCTAGAACATCATTCACAGGTGCTCTAGTAAGACAGGTTATACCGTACTTACTTGTTAGAGCTAGCCATGTATCATCCAACTTGATCTCCCATAACTCTCAAGGCATCTACAACTATCCATCACCCTGCACGTCGCTGGCTGTACTGTCTACGGCATTACAGTAGTAATTGTGAGACAAGAAGCTAGTACTAAAAATTGGCCAGACGGAGGCAACTTTTAGGTTGCGTTAATACCTACGCTAATCAATCAATACGCCTATATGGTGATGATTGCTTGTGCCAGTAATTCAACTCAGTTTTTGCACTGTTCGTTTCACGCTTGTTTGTTTTAATATGATATCACTTTATCAAAGAACACTCCAGTCACTGACGTAGTCCAACGTCAGTAAACAAAAAACGTTTCGTGTGCAACGGACATCAGTTCATTGTACTTTATGTACATACCATTCTTTATCATTTTTTTTCTTTGTGCATTATACATGATGTTACTATTGCCTTAGTTTGACCTGGTATGTGGAATGGAAGATCAGACTCAGATATCCCAATCAGTTTTCTACGGCGGTTTCCTAGCTGGCTCAATCATCAACGGAACATTGGCGGATATGTAAGCGATTAATTTAAAGGGGATCCGTCATACATGTCCTTGTTTAGCTTATAAATTGCGGTTTGGGTACGGGGTTTTCGTGGTGCTGTGGTGCTGTAAATTAACGGTCATGATCAAGGGTGTCGATTTGTATCCGTGGTTGGGGGGGGGGGGGATGATAGGTGCCAAAATATTTTCGGCAATGGATCAAAGCAATCAAGAGGTAGAAGCGTGTGGCAAGTTGCACCCCTCCCAAGCGCGTAGCCAGGATTTCATTTTAGGGGGCGGTAGTGAGCACGCGAAGCGCGGTCCCTAGGGTGTTGCGTGCAAGGAGGGGGAGTCCCCCCGCGAAGCGCGGAAGCTTTGACGTTTCACTAAATTATTAGAGAAAGAAGACGATTCGTTGGACCGTTCTCGACTCTTAATCCTTGTTTGAATCAAGTTCCCCTTCCTCCGCGCATAGCGCTGAAGCTCTGACGTTTCATTAGATTATCAAAGACAGAAGACGATTCGATGTACCATTCTCAACTCTTAATCCTTGCTTGAATCAAGTTCCCCTTCCTCCGCGCATAGCGCGGAAGCTCTGACGTTACATCAGATTATTAAAGAAAGAAGACGATTCGATGTACCATTCTCGACTCTTAATCCTTAATGTTTGAATCAAGTTCCCCTTCCCCTTCTGACGTTTCATTAGATTATTAAAGAAAGAAGACGATCCTATGTACCATTCTCGTCTCTTAATCCTTGTCTGAATTCATTTTCGCCCATTCCTGCGCGAAGCGCGGAAGCTTTCACATTAGAGAAAGAAGACGATTTGTTGTATCGTGTCCTTCATGAATTCAGTTTCTCCCCTACGGGAGCTTTGACGTTTCACTAAATTATAGGAGAAAGAAGACGATTCGCTGGACAATTCTCGACTCTTAATCCTTGTTTGAATCAAGTTCCCCTTCCACGCGCGTAGCGCGGAAGCTCTGATGTTTCATTAGATGATTAAAGAAAGAAGACGATCCTATGTACCATTCTCGACCCTTAATTCTTGTCTGAATTCATTTTCGCCCATTCCTGCGCGAAGCGCGGAAGCTTTCACATTAGTGAAAGAAGACGATTTGTTGTATCGTGTCCTTCATGAACTCAGTTTCCCCCTACCGCTCGAAGCGCGGAAGCTTTAACGTTTCAATAAATTATTACTCTTAATTCTTGTCTGTATTCATATTCGCCCATTCCGCGCTTAGCGCGGAAGCTTTCACGTTTCATTAAATTAATCGTAAAAGAAGACGCTTCGTTGTATCGTGTACTTTGACGTTTCATTTGATTATTACGCTTAATCCACGTCTGAATTCAGTTACCCCCTAACAGATTTGCCCTTTTCACTGAATTATTAGAGAAAGAAGACGATTCGTTTTACTGTTCTCTATATTAATCCTTGTCTGAATTCAGTTTCCCCACTGAAAATAATTTGTGTTACAAATAAGTTGTGACATAATAATCTTTCTCCAAAAATGAAAAATCTTTTAGGAAATATCAGGAAATAAAATGAGTGAAAAAAAACAAAAATAAAGATACAATACTTAAATACTTAAAAACTAGAGAACTATTTTTTAAGTCATACTAATGTCCAAAAATCTTTCTCCTTGTCTCCGATCTCATCACGAAATTGTCACAGAGTTCATCTATGTTTACACTGTCCAGGATTGTCTGATGTGCATTGCAGATTGCTATTTTTGCGCTTCGCGCTTAACATTTAGCTCGTTGTTTTTTGACGCTGCGTCTTTGCATTTGGCGCACTGCATTTCTATGATGTTGTTGATTGAACAAATTGAATAAATTCATCAATTCCTGATGAAGCCGTATGAGCGAGAATTCAATTTATTCTTGTCTCATATACGGTTGTCTTATTTACTTCGTATACATGTATGTATTATGAAAATGAGATAGCAAAATGTGTATATTGATGGTCATCTTGCGAGTAATAACCATTAACTACTCTCATCGGGCTCTCATCCTTAATTTTTCTCTTCATTTTTTTTTTTTTTTTTTTGATGGTGAATTATTGGGGGGATGATTGTACAGGACATCCCCCACCTGAAATATTGGGGGGATATATCCCCCCATCCCCCCCCCCGGGATCGACACCCATGGTCATGATCATATTATAATTGAGGAGTTTTAATATTGCAGTTATGATGTTCCATTAAATATATCCTTTACGAAATGCCTAATGTTTACATCTCAGTTTTGACTAGATAACTATCTGTAAAATATACATCATTATCTAAAATTTACAACGTTGCATATTTTAATTCAGGTTGTATCGTTTCAAAACTACAGTTCGTTAAATAAATAACCATATGAAGATCTATAATGTGTGTGTGTGTGTGCGTGTGTGTGTGTGTACAAATATGATTTTATATATACAACACATTTATAAAGTCACACTTGTATAGACATACATGTATATACAAACAAATGTAAATATCTCACAATATTGCAACATACATAGCTGAAAGGCCATCCCACAAAATACTTCATTTGTACTTTCTGAAGGAAATCAGCCTTCATGTACATATCATTCCTGGCGGTACGTTTGCCTTAAATACGTCATAAAGTTATGATCATAATGATTACCATAATTATGACAATGATCAGTAAAGTTATATATATATATTTTTTTATTTTTTTTATTTTATTTATTTGTATGTTTTATTAAATCAAAACTAATATCACAATATTTACAGGTCATCAATAATGATTGGTACATAACAACAAAAAGATACATATAAAAAATTAAAAGTGACAAGAAATACAAGATATATTTAAATCAATAAGCATATAATGCGTAATATGAAGCCACAGAGAGTCCCCTAGCTGCCAATCAGTAAAGTTATTTTAATTATCTGCAGCATAGTCTACATTATCATCATTATCTTCATCGTTATCGTCATCGCCTCCATAGACCTTCGTCATCATTGCTATTTTCATCATTATCATTGTCATCACCACCGCCATCACCACAACCACCATCATCATAAACACCACCATCATTATCGTCATCATCATCATTTCATCATCATTTCGTCATCATCACAATCTTCATCTTCTTCTTTATTATTTTCGTCGTCGTTATTATTAGCACCGTCGCCTTCGTAATCATATGCCATCATTTTCTAACGGCCGTTGTCATTAACAAAATTGCATTATTGCTTGTGGATTGCATCTTTTGTTATATACTTGTATGTGTGAAGAGTTGGACGATGGTGGATGCTTATGGTATTGATGTTTGTCCGGCTAATCACGGGGATAGCTATAGCATTCTCCCCCAACTGGTGGGTCTTCACTGTCCTGCGGTTCTTCCAGGGGTACGCTGCTGTCTCTCTTTATATCATCGCCTTCATTGTAGGTAAGGGATTAAAGTGGGCATTCAAAGAAAATCACAAATGTGTCAAAAATGTAACACTAGAAACTGGTAAGCTAACATGTGGTAATTGTACAAGTTTAAGGTCTGCTACATATCGGTTGATTAATACAAATACAAATAGAACCACCTCCATAGCATCTAGTATATACGAAAGATTCGCCAGAAAAAAACACGATGTTTTAATGACGTCACATACTGCACAAATACTGCCCAAGCAATCGACATTCCATAAAGAATGAACATAATTGCAATGCTATTATTTCTCAAATTATAATGAGTTTGGTGTATATAAAAGTAATGGCATTTCACACCATTCAAAAGGGGATATGAAACCGATTTTGATAACTAAATTCTTCTGTTTGTAAATACACATGATATAGGAATTAATTTACAGTAAAAGAAACCAGGCTTTCAAATTGAAAAAAAAACTCAGAATGATAGCATGGACGGCATTTGTTCCCTCTTGAAACGCCAAACTTACCGCGGTGTATGCAGCTGAAAGTACAATGGCGTCTTATTTTGTTTACAAGCGACAGATTCCTTTTTTAATCGATGCATTTTTCATCAAAATGATACCACGCGCGGGGTTTAGAGTGAGGCAATAGATTGAACATTCAGCCTTACGGTAGTGGAGTGAGAAAAAGAACTGAAGAGAAGATGACAAAACAGGCACTGAAAATGTGTGAGAAAGATGGGACATCGTCTGCTTGTGAAAATCATGTCCATTCTGTGATGTCACACATCTCAGCAGCGATCGGACAGCTCTGCAGGTGCTATGCCGGGGCTGTATTTAAGCGTTTTGTAATTCATAATAATCGTTACCTCGAATGTTTCCAAGCATTAAATTTTGATAACCTTGTCCAATCAAAGTTTCACCTTTGCAATAATGAAAATGAAGTTAGTTTTTAAAATCAATAAATATTTACTTTGAGAACAATGTGGTACCCCTTCTCATCAACGCCCCATAGCACTCATAGTGCTAAGGCAAATGTTGACTTGTACCTTTAATTCTAAGATTTGACTATGAACCTCTTTAAATAAAAAGAAAATGCACATGTCCTAATACAGCGCAAATTCTCAGCTACAACTAATGTAAATTTGGAAGAAAATGGAGTAGAAACAACACTGTCAACAGAACATTGAGAATATGACGTCAGTAATTAAAGATTATGTGTGGTATTCCGGTAGCGTGTACTAAAGTTAGCGCGTACTTAGTTAGTCCACACTATAATGGAGTGCATGTTGCAAACTAATTTACCCTGTACAGATTATTTTAATCCTTCAATAAAAAGTGTCCAACAAATTAATTTTGCAATGAAATGGGAAGAAAATATAATATGAGTATGAACTGAATTTTAACAAAGTCTTTGATAGATTATTTTTGTCATGAATATTGAAGGAGGAAGATAAAACCTAGCATTCCATAGAAGTGTGAACTACAATTGAGGCATGAAATCATATCTACCTTTCACGCCCGTTGAGAATATGCAATAAAATCTAGGGGCCACCTTCCATTCTGAAGAGTTAAAGTAGATCAAAATTTGGCAATAAAAAAAAATGAAATTCGCGCGCACGTGCATATCTAGGTGTTACGTTCGCGTATCGTCCAGCGTACGGGAAAATGCAAGCGTATGTGCGTGAGCGCGAAATTTTTGGAAAAGGTTGTGAATGGCCTGAAAAATGTAAACTTAATTTTAGACAATTTTGAGCATTTTCAATTTGTTGGGTGATACGTTGATATGTTGCGCATTAAGTGTCGTGATATAGTATATTAAGTATTATGCCATTTTGTTAATCACTAGATGACGTAACATTATGCAAATGACCTACGTGTGTCTAGGCCTCAATAGGGTCTTATAGGGAAATGTACAGAAAGAAAAAAACTAAAAATCCTCACGAATATAAGAGGTGTTATATACAATAGTACATACCCCCTACTAATATCAACCTTTTTTTTCTGCCTCTATTCTCTAGGAACCGAGTTTGTCGGGCCATCGAAACGTAACGTCACCGGCATTATCTTCGTCATCCCTTTTGCTTTCGGCAACGTTTGCCTCGCGGGCATCGCCTACTTCGTACCATACTGGAGGACTTTAGAACTAATTTGCGTCTCCCCGGCACTTATCTACATTGGCTTGATGTTGTAAGAGGATTTACAGAGTCATTACTCTTTTATATCTGTAGTGTGGTGTCTATGCAGGCATTAGATTCTCATAACTCTCATCAGCGTTTAATTGGTTTGGATTACAAGATTCAAAGAAAACCTCACCCCCCCCCCCCCCCAAAAAAAAAAAAAAAAAAACTTTATATATTCTGAGAGATTCATTAAATCCTACAAGATTCCCCACCAAAGTATATGAGAGAGGCAAAAAGCAAGAATAATATACAGTAGTATGTGAAACCGTTCATCAGGTTAATGTATTCAAACTCATGGAGGACCCCTTTCTAGGTGTGTTTGGGATGATGAAGCATTTCATTCACCTCCTATTATCCTTTGTACTACAAAAGCCAAAACGTAAATTACATAAACAAATTGGTGCTCTTCTTGGGTAAAGGTTTCTCATGAATGAAAAATATTTGCCAACTGCTATATATATTTTTAAATAAATTAGTTGCGATTTTTCTCCTGTTATATATTTTTATTTTCTCAGCTATGATTTTTCCTCATTGAATAGTAAATGATTTCTCACTAAAGCTTGGTGCATAATACATGTACAAATTAAACTGGTACGTCACATTTTCAAGAAAATGGCTGCGCATATGTTATGCTAAAAGGCATTCAAATTCATGATATTCAAGCATACGTGAAATAATTGCATTAGATTTAAGATTGGTTCGAAGAAGAGCATTAATCCCTTTGTTTTGACGCCGACGATTCACGGTTATATTAAACAAAAACACAGGAATTTATACACCCTTTACTTCACCCAAACACCCTAAGTTTCATATTTCCACATCTTATAATGTTGTGACAACGCAAGTTTTTTTTGTTTCTCTCCTGTCAGCTTTCTTCCGGAATCAGTGCGTTGGCAAATATCGATGGGAAAGTATGACGAGGCTGAGAAAGCTCTAGTGAAGATTGCCAACTCGAACAACAAGCCCCTTTCAAGTCCATTTTTCAGCAGTGATTTCAAGAAGGAACAAGTAAGGATTTAAATATAAAGACCAGTTCTGGTAATGCGATTGCATTGTGAAAGAGAAAAGTGGCATATGCAGAAATCAATTAACAGGGAAGCGGATCCTCTCAAGCAAGATGATGAAGTGAGGGGGTGGAGCACCAGATGGAGGAAAGAACAGTAGGAGAAGGAGGAGAATATGTAATTACTTTGGCGGTTCACCTTGCTGTAGAATTAGTTTGGGGGGTTTTTGTGTGTTCGCGCGTGTGTTTGTGTGTGGTGCCAACTTGAAGCAAAGTGAAGATTCAGACGACGCAAAAATAATGTATTTGTTTTCATAACGACTCCAGAGCCCTCTATACACAGGGTTTGGCCAACTTGGTTTCACTGGGTCACAATAAGGCGTATATTATTTTGTTTTGTGCTTGCCCAACAAAGCAGTAGTCGCCATATTTTGTCCAACTCGAACCGGGTTGGCCAAACACTCCTTATCAATGGCACTGAACGGCTCTTGAATGCACCCCTCCCCGGTAAAAGAGTTAACTGGTAATTTCCAATGGTGGTAGGGAGGAAAACAAAACAGTTTCCAGTAATTCATCGTTTTTTTTAAATCTCTGTTTGTCCTAATAAGTACTTGATTTGATGTTATTTATTTTTCCACTCAAATATCCATGACTTTGAATGAAATATATAAACTATAGAGTATAACAATACATAATAAAACAAATAAATTATACAAGTAACGAAATACGTTTGTAATAAAATAAGTTTACAGAGTACATTTAAGTTTTAGAATAAGAGACAAAATATTTTAAATTGCTTGATAAACTAAGAGGGGAAAAAAGGGAATCTCAGAATAGGTAGGCTTGTTATTCGAGATTAGAATTTAGAATTGCTTCTAGTCACTTTCTCATGACATGCAATTCTGTCACCACAGACATTGCACATATTCATATTGGTTTTCAGATAGACAATCTAATGCTCTGTTACATTTAGGATATGTGTAAATTATTATTACTATAAGTAATAATATTAGTATTATCATCATGATTATAATGAGTATCAATTATAGTTAATATTATTATTATGATTATTATTTTCATTACTATCGTCAATATTATTATCATTAGCATCATCATTATTTTTATTATCTTTATTATTCGTATAGAAGACCGCACCAAAGGAGAGACGAGCTACAGGAATTGATTTATTCCGCCAGCCTCGAATGAGACTACGAACCATCAATCTTATCTTTACCTGGTTTGTCTCATTTAATTTGAACTTCTGATTTAGCCTAAGGCTTAAAATGAATAAAAAGGGAATGTTATTAGTAGTAGTAATACATTACATTATCATTATTATTTTTGCTATTGTAATTATCATCAGTATCGATACAGTTGCTAGCTACGATTGCATTAAGCGCTGCCTAGCAATATAGGCCTACTATGTGTTTACAAAGCACTTTATGGCTGTTACAGCAGTAGTAAATATTCTGACGCTTGTTATGAATTATAAATTATGATGCAACGTTAACACATGGGCAATGGCTACTATGTGGCTTCAGTCATAGTTTTCTCTTCTTCGTGTTGTCCTTCATCAGGATGGTGAATGCAACGGTGTACCACGGTCTATCACTAAACACCTCAAACCTCGGTGTCAACGACTACGTCGCCTTCGCAGTGTCAGGAGCCGTCGAGATCCCCGCTTGCCTACTCGCTGTGGTCGCTGTAGAGATCAAGTTTATTGGACGAAGGATTAGTCTCAGCGCGAGCATGTTGGTCGGCGGCGTCGCTTGCCTCTTTACAACCTTCATACGTAAGATAATTACATTTTCATTGATTGAATTTTTGCTTAAGGGGATCGTTTAACAATGTTAAATCTGAGATGCAGGGTCCTACTTATTATCAGTGTCTGCGATATGGTGTAATATTGAAACCTAACAAAATTGCGCTTAAAATGATCAAGAACTGCCTCAAATAAATACAAATCTTTGAGTGACCGGTTTTTACCATACTCGTTTTCCCCAATAGACTGGAGTGTTATGAAAACCCTTTTACAAACGGTTTTCAAAATGTGTAATTTCAATCATAAATATCTTGATAATCAGACGGGCGATCGGCTTGTAAAAGTCATGGGGTTCCTGACTGACCTAAAGGATGATTGCAGCATGAGCTAAATCCAGAATTTTGTTTCAGAATGTGACACAAATTTACCGGATCCCTTTAAGGTTCTGACATCAGTCCTTCTCCTCTCCTCCTTACCCAGCCCCATCCCTTTATTTCTATCTCTCTCTCTCCCTCTCCACCTCTCTCTCTCTCTCTCCGCCCCTCTCTCTCTCTCTTTTCCCCCTGCCTCTACCCTCAACAAATCTGAATCGATCAAAGCAATCGTGAAAACAGTGGCAGCTCATGTATTTAAAAGATAAGGACAGCTAATTGTATGCTATCGCAGTTGACAACCAAAATAGATTAACGTCGACGCCCCTTTCCCATAAGTATGTACCATATGTACATAACAGCTGCAAGAAAGATGACAATATCATTTTAACAACATTTTTCCATTCACCCAATTATGTGAACTTGAAAAAAAGCCAATTCCCCTTCAGCGATCACTTCCAACAACTTATTTATTTATTTATTTCTATTCCTCTTTATTGTTTTCTTTCTTTCTGTTTATAATATAGCACCCGGAGCAGCACTTACATCAGTTGCAATGATTGGTAAATTTGGAATTTCGGCATCTTTTGCCATCCTGTATCTCTACACCGCGGAGCTGTACCCAACCAATATCAGGTAAAGCTTGCGTACATATACGCGGTTTTCAAAATAGTGTACTTAATTTCGTTGGCACGGTTAAAGATATTAATAACATCAGCTTTAGAAATTAAAATGATTATAACAAATATTGAAAATTGAATAAAAATGAATGAATAATTGAATAAATGAATGAATAAATGAAAGAATAGATAATAAATAAATAAGTATACTAAGCCAAACCATTCCAGTTAATGCTTTATCCGAAATTATTTACAACTCGAAGAAATTATTAGGTAAAATTGCCTGGAACACCACGGAATTGCAACAAACAATAAGACAGTAATGTTGATACCATTAAGATTTTTTAATACGGTAGACTGAGAAAAACACTTTCCTGTTCGGATGTTTGAGCAATTGAAGGTTCCAAAGGGCAATTTTGACATTCAAAATGGTTTCAAGTCACTTTATTTATTCTATTCATTTGGAAACTTCATGAATAGGGCTACTTCAAAAAGACGTCGATATAAGTATATTCATTTCATATGACATAGGAGCGTGGCCATGGGAACCTGCTCGATGTTTGCACGTGTCGCCGGCATCCTGGCGCCCCTTATACTCACACTGGCCAGGATTTGGACTCCACTACCCCTCGTCATCTACGGGTCCGTCTCAGTGATCGCTGGCCTCCTGACTCTCTTCCTCCCCGAAACATTAGGCCAGAAGCTCCCCGAAACGATCGAAGAAGGCGAAAATTATGGAATGTATGTAAACTATTGTTCTAGCTAATCTATTCACACACCCATCTCTCACTTTCTCTCTTTCTCTCCTGCCTGCATGCTTCATTCCCTCCTTCTACCCTCCATCTCACTTCTCCCTCCCCCTACTTCCTCTAGCCTCCCAATCCCCAACCCCTTCCGCAATCCCCACCCCTGTTCCTCCTCTCCCCAACTCCCTCCATCCGCTGTTATTACTTATTTCAATAACAATGCAAATTATTAATTCTTTTTCTTTAACTGCCGCGCACTCTATCTTTAACAAATAATGAGATTATCTTGGCGTGTATTATTTCTAGAAAATGATATACTTTCTTTTTTAGTAGTTGATAAGTTCTGCATTTTATGATTCACTTATATACAAACAAAGAGAATCACTCAAGAAACCGAAAAGAGGGCAAATTTATTTGACTATGTTTAGACCGTGTTTGATATAACTCCTATCAAACAAGCTTTACTTCTGGATGGTATTTCGCAACGTCCCATTAGCAACCAATCGAGAAGGGATTGGGAGTGCACATTTGCGTTCGAAGTCCTAGATCGTTGCTTTTATTTTGCTTTTGGAAGAAGATGGATACTTGAAGTTTGTGTGTTTTATCGTTTATGGTGCTCTAAAGATCGCTTGATTCATGTTCCTGTCCTCAATGGAATGTAAAATTAAGGAATATTCAAAACTGTTGGTAGGGGTAGAGTATCATATATAATTATACTGAGGAACGTATATTACCCTATAACGCTACACCAAACCTAAAACACACACTTCAACTCTCAACCCTCTACACCTTTGATATCCCGGAGCAATTTATTGTTGTAGTAGCAAATGTTGAATCGCCCATATGTGTAAAGCCCCAGTCCCATATAAAGCCGGACCAGCACGGACGAGCACGGACCACTCCGGACCATCCCGGACCATGGTCTGGGGTGATCCGGGATGGTCCGGGATGTTTTGTTCAAAAAAGTGTGATGCTTTTAAGCTACAGTCCCATATACGTCCCGGACCGTCCCGGACCATCCCGGACCCCATCCGGGGTGATCCGGGATTCGGTCCGTGTTGACACCGTGTTGGCACCGGGGTTGTCCTGGATGGTCCTGGATGGTCCTGGATGGTCCTGGATGGTCCTGGGCGGTCCGGGAGTCGACCCCGGATGTTTTTGACGGTCAAAAACTGCCGGGGTGGTCCGGGACGGTCCGGGACAATAGTTTGATCCGGGGTGATCCGTGTAGCCACCGTGCTGGGTCCGGGGTCATCCGTAGTGGCGCCGGGGCGGTCCGTGTTGATCCGTGGCAGTCCGGGAGTGAGTTATTGACCCCGGATCACCCCGGCGCCCCGGACCGTCCGGGCATAGCCCCGGCAGCAGTACAGATCATTCCAGACCCAGCACGGAGCCGCCACGGACCATCCCGGACCACCCCGGTGCCAACACGGTGCCAACACGGATGACACCGGACCATCCCGGTGCCAACACGGATCATTCCGGGATGATCCGTGTTGGCACCGGGATGGTCCGGGATCATCCGTAGGGGCGCCGGGGTGATCCGGGGTCAATAACTCACTCCCGGACTGCCACGGATCAACACGGACCGCCCCGGCGCCACTACGGATGACCCCAGACCCAGCACGGTGGCTACACGGATCACCCCGGATCAAACTATTGTCCCGGACCGTCCCGGACCACCCCGGCAGTTTTTGACCGTCAAAAACATCCGGGGTCGACTCCCGGACCGCCCAGGACCATCCAGGACCACCCCGGTGCCAACACGGTGTCTACACGGATCGAATCCCGGATCACCCCGGATGGGGTCCGGGATGGTCCGGGACGGTCCGGGACGTATATGGGACTGTAGCTTAAAAGCATCACACTTTTTTGAACAAAACATCCCGGACCATCCCGGAACACCCCAGACCATGGTCCGGGATGGTCCGGAGTGGTCCGTGCTCGTCCGTGCTGGTCCGGCTTTATATGGGACTGGGGCTTTATGGGACTGGGGCTTAACGCTGTGATCTTGTTATCTTCACACAGGGAATCTGACGAGAAGAACACCCTTTCCGGTAAAGATGGTGTCTACATTCGCTGCCAGGATGATGAAGAGGTCACCATCATAGATTAATTTAATCCTTTAATTAATTCTCAAGATGAGAATAACTTCGGCAAACGGGAAAATGACGTGCGAGACGATCTATCGGAATAACCCTAGAAACACGATCTATCGGAATAACCCTAGAAAAGTACTTTCGCGAAAAAGCGGTGTACAAAACGATCAATCGGAATGACGAAGTACTGTTAACACGATAACAAACACATTCGAGAAATAAACGTAAGGGGAATGTCAATATCATATTGTGCATCCAACATATATCATGTTTTGGGTGATGTGATACGTTATTGTCATGTTTGCTGCAATGTTTACACATTTGTAATAAATGACGGAGGAGCTTATCAAAATTGCACATACACAATTGTATTAGATAGATTTTTCGAAAGTATTTGCGATTGTCTGTGTCTTTTGATATTGCACTTTAACGCTGTTGCTATATTAAGGGTTTGTCATCTTTGCATGAATTTTCAGATCCCGTTCCCTAACAATGTTAAACTTAATTTGTTAACCTTTTGATGAAATTCGGTTTCTTTCCCCACAGTAGAATTCTATTTATACGAATTTTAAATTGGATAATTTCCATTGGCTGAAACAAAACAAGGAAGGCTGAAACAATGCTAAACACAGCGATTAACAGTGTGGAAATACTCTTCAGATCATAGAATTTATGTCCTTCTCCCACAAAATTTTGCTCGCTTGATTTATTCGCAGGCCAAAATAAAAAGAGAGAGAGAGAGAGAGAGAGACCCTTACGAGATATGGTCTATATGCGCTTTTGCCAGTGTTCTTTTTTTTCCCCTAAAGTTTAGTTCAACATTGAGATAATGGTCATATATTTCATGTGAGTATATAAATGTCCTAGGGAGGGAAAAGGTGATGGCGTAAATAAAGTTTTACCTTTATGGATTTTGGTACATTTCAGCATTACGACTATTGCATGGTAAGGCTTTTGAACACCATTTTGACCTTTATATTCATGATTAACTTGTCAGCTGAAGTGTATCAGTACATATTATTGGCATATATTTTTCTGTGTTCTCTTGCAATGTACTTTGTTATACACCCATCTGTATAAAAAAAAAAAAACAAGCGATTTAACCAGGGCTGTTTTTGTTTTTTAATTTTGGAAGGTATAAATTATTATAAATTTACGCTTTCATATTTTGTTAATTACAAACGTTCTCGAAACGACTGTCCTAACGCAAAATTATCTCAATATCACTTAATGAAATTAGTGTATAAATAATGATGCAATGATGAAGGACAAAGGCAACAACATAATTGTACAAAGTGTGATTTGTTTACAAGAGTTATATTGAATGCCTATACTTAGAATAATTACGTTGTCGTTTAAGAAAGAGTATGAGTATAGAGGAAAAAGCGGATATTAGTGAACTAGTGAATGATTGAGGAGATGGGCGAAAGATAAAAAGATTATGAGACACAGAAAGAACACAAGAGCGAAGGAAGAAAAGAATGAATGAATGAACGAATCTATAACTTAATAAATGCATGAATGTATAAATGAATCGATAAATGAATAAAGGTAAGAAAGAACGTATGCCTGCAGGGGCGGTGATACCGGGGTTAGGAGTATGTTTCCCCCATGACAATCTTAAGGAGGATCTTTAGGTAATATTTTGCTGAAGTAGGTCATTGCTCTTTTTAGAGCCTCATCGTTAGGTAATTATGGATATCAGAAGTTGACGTGTAGTAAGGTAGGATGTAAGGGTCATTTGAACATATTAATTTATGGACATCCACCCTCGGATAACCACCTCTAGTCAACTACCCCTTAGGACAAGTACCCCCTAGGGCAACCACCCTCTAGGACGACTACCCTGCGGGACAACTACCCCCGGACATCTACCTCCAGACAACTACCCCCTAGGACAACTATCCCCCAGACAACTACCCCCGGACAACTAACCCCAGACAACTACCCCTACGACAACCATCCTCTAGGACAACTAACCCCCGGAAAACTATCCTAGGGGGTAATTGTCCAGGGGGAAGTTGTCCTAGGGGGTAGTTATCTGGGTGTTAGTTGTCCGGGGGTAGTTGTCACGGGGTGAAGTCGTCCTAGAGGGTGGTTGCCCAAGGGGTACTTTTCATAGGGGGTAGGGGTCCTGATACACTACTTTACACACTCCAGAGCACTAAGTTAATGTGATCTTAGTATTCAAGTGAGTGGGCGTCCCTATCGAATCCCTTCAACCGCCGAGCCTTTATTTTCATCGCAACGTTAGCATGATTAGGTACCTGCCCCTGATGCCACTTCTATAAACCCGATGACATTCTATTTTTTATGTTACTAAGCTCATAATAATTAGCTTCATAGAATGCTGGTTGAACCTGAAAAGGGGAGGTTAGTTTGGTCATTACCTTTGCAAAGCCATTTTTTGCATTAATAATTTATCGCGTTATGGGTCGCTAAACGATATTAGTAAATACTAACGGTAAATTCACAAATATTATTAATCGTTTAGTTGTTCAATAAAAGTGAAATGAGAACTAGAAGGAGTTTTTGTAGCGTAACAAAGTCCATGCGTTCTTCTGGAGCTTGGCACTATGCCAGAAGAGGTAGCGCAATTTCAAATCACTGTAAAGAAACTTCATGAACTTGTTCATATTCATTTCGCAAATTACTGCAGACATATAGTAAGCCTACAACTCTCTGTTACAACGGATCGTCAACCTACAACGTTATCACTGTACTTTATTTTCTGGATTCTTCTTTGAAGACAAATTTGTGTCGTGTTATTTACTGACTTAATCCCCATCGTCAATCATGATTAGACTGGATGATATTTTAGTGCAGATCGGCGAGTTCGGGCCTTATCAGAAGAGGGTTTTCGCCATTATCTGTATGATTGTTTTCACCGCTTCATGGCAATCAATGATCGTCGTTTTCCTAGCCGCATCCGTGGACCATTGGTGTGCGGTGAGTCTTTATGTTAATTCTTAATGGGCAATCCAACCCTTCTAATAAGTTCATTTGAATGAAAGCATAACAATCAGAGAAACAGAATGGCGAGAGTTTGAAATAAATCGGACCAATATTAAGAAAGTTATGAGTGTTTAAAATATGAGATCACTACAGGTGTGCGAATCTCAAAACGGCAATTTTGTCTATGGATTGTGACGTAGTGACAGATTACTCTCTCGTTTGTCGCGTACACGAATATCACTTATTTCTGTTTTTCTTCCAAGTGCTTTCACCCTCGGGGCACTACTCAATATAAAAAAGAACAGACCATCCCGAGTCATACATTTATGAAAAGCTGAAATTTTAATCCTTTTGTGTATAAGAGCAAATGGAAAAGTTGTACGCCACTACATCACATAGACATTATCAATTCAGCCAATTTGATAATAATTGCAACTTTCAGAAATTCGTAACTGTCTATTTTTTTGTCCGATTTCATTCGAACTTTCATCAGTATACTTCATTGATATAGCTGCTTTATTCTAGACACGGTTGCTATCAAGGTTGGATTTCTCTTTAACTTTAATTCTGGACCAAATCATGTTACGAGCACTGCATCAAACCCTAAGCCTGAGCCTAACATGCAATTGCAACCCTAACTCCCTTTTTCGACCTTGTCAGACCCGTCGACGCCGCCCGCTCGTACGTAGCATGGGCTTACTTCGAATTATCGGGTCATCGTGGCAGGTAGGGTGGTCGCTTTACACGACCTTTCGTAGATTTTCCTTCGGGTTTTCACAAAATGTCAGGTTAATTGAACAAGACCATTTGTAGATGAGAGGGGTTTATTTCATTTACATTACTCCTGACATTTCGTGAATAAAGGGGCATGTTTTCACTAAAGGTCGAATAGTTTGCAGAATTCAGTCGGGACACTAAGACAGTTTGGAAGCTTGCAATGCAACAAAGTTTGTGTTAAACTCGGCAAAATCACTACCGACAATTACGAGATGCTCCATAAAAGAATCTCTTGACACCGGTGACGAAAGCTAAATTTTACTGTCATGATTCAGAGACGAACAAAAGAGTGCCCAATCAAAGCGTTTTGGAAGCTCAAGATGATCCCCTTTCTTCGACAGCAAGGGCATCATCTACATACATTATGTTCCCTCTGAACAGAGAGTCAACAAAGAGAATGAAGAGGTTTTGAGAGAGTTCAGGAAGAGATTTTGTCTCAGAAAGCCAGATCTCTTCCAACCTTGTCAGTGGCACCTGTATCAGGAAAATGCACCAGTCCAAAAATCCATCCTGGTAACCAATCGCCTGACAGAAATGGGTATCAAAACTTTCCCTTACCCTTACTGCGCAGTCTAGATCCTGCCCCCTATAATTCCAATTGTTCCCCAAACTTATAGTGAACAACAGGGGCAGTCGTTTTAAAGATACTAAGAAGATGAAGGAGGGTGTAACAAGGTTTCCTTAACACCTTCCCTTTTGGGAATTACCCGGGGTTGGGAGCTTGAAAAATTAGCTGGACCACTGCAACATACGCATTGAATAGCATTGGGAATAAGACAGAACGTGGGCATTGGTAGAATAAACACCTATAAATATGAAATCGTCTTCACCCTGTCATGCCCAACGCTTAACCTTCTTAGATTGCTTGCCGCTCATGCTCGTTAGACTCCAAATTAAAAATGGACCTATGAAATAAATATTACAAAGTTTACGGTTTTATAGGTCATGGTTATTCATTAAAATGCTCCTATGCCTTGTGGATTTCAATAGGGAGCTGCAAAAGATAAGTAAATCCAGGGAAATATTTACATCAAACTGTATGTGTACTTTTTCTTTTTTATACCCTAAATCACATTTGTGTTTGTGTAACCGATGCCATGTCGAGCGGTTTTCAGATTGAAGGTTTTAGGAAATTATCAAAACGAATCACGGAAGTGTACTCAAGTACGGGCGGAAGTGAGATCTGTTTTATTTAAATTTCGATCGATTGAAATGCTGGTTTGGCCCCCTTTGGCCTGAGATTGAACAATGGACAAACCGTTCATATTTCATCTTCGTTTTTTTACT